AAATATGCATACTTTAATAACATATTTAGATTCATATTTGAACAACTGTCCCAATCCTTTAAACGTTTATTTTCCCCTAGCCTTTTGAAAATATTGTTAGTTTGCTTTTGATTGCACTATTAATGGCCCTGTATTAGTGTAGTGTATATTATGTACTCTTTGTTTTTATATATGAGAAAAAAATTATATCACATAATTTAAAAAAATTAGTTAACTATAATAATTATGTCTGAAAATAAAATAAGTGAACTACAATGCCCTATGTTAATTAATATAAACATATATTAATTATTTTTCATCAATATGAATTATGAGAGATGATTTAAAAAATATGTAATAAATGTTTATTGAAATGGGTGATTTTATTTATAAAAAAAATACAAATCAAAGATGATAATTTCTCTAATAATAAAATTTGAAGGGAGTATATGTATGTATTTTTGGCCCAAGCATGTATGTTAGAGGCAGAAAGCCTGCCTGAATAAGTAAGGAAAAAAAAAAGATCAGGTTAGTAAAAAAAAACACAGTTTTTAAACCCATTCTGTTGGAAAGAAATGCCCATTGTACCAAAAAAAAAACAGGAAATGCCTCTTTTGGGCTAGATATTGGCCTTATTTTGTTTTTAAATCCTTGTGAGTGTTTCCAAGGGAAAAACTTCATTTAACGACCAATGAAGGTGTTTAATATCAAGGATAAAAAAAAATTTGAAATATTATTATTAGATTAGGAGATTTATTAAAAAATAATTTTAAATAAAAAAGACTAGAATACCTCTGATTTTTATTTTTAATTAATAAATAGCCATTCGTTAATTAATTAGTATTCAATTGTATTTAATAAAAAATTATTTGTTAATTAACAAGTTCAAAAATGCGAAAGAGTTTGATTATTAGAAGGAATATGGGTAAATTATGTTTCAAGAACCATCCATTAAATTAATAAATTCTCATTTACATTTAATAAAAAATTATTTATTAATTGATAAGTTTAAAAAAGAAAAAGAAAAACTGGAGTATTATAGTATTTTTTCATTTAAAATTATTTTCAAATCATCTCCTGATTTTAACTCTGATATTTCAGAATTTTTTTATCCTTCTTTGATATTAAATTGTCTTAGCAGTCTCTAATTAAAAAACTTATCTTTGCAGTCTTTGCAATCTCAAATTATCACAAAAATAACAAATGGGAGTTAAAATTAGACTCAAGAAAAGGAAGGAAATATGAATATGAAGGAAACAAATATTTAAAAGAATTACGTTAATATTAATGATTTGGAAATAGTCACAAGAATTAATCATGAGATTTGCAATCTTGGGAATTTTTGGAAACATCATTTTTTTTTTTGGATAAAGATTGGAAACATCATTGTCTTCCCCCCAAGATTCCAGCATTAACAAAAGCAAAATGAGCCCAATTTTGAGGCCAAAAAATCAAAGCAATTTCCTTTCCTTTCTTTCCTTTTTCTTCCCCCCCCCCCCTTTTGTTGAAGAATAGTGGGCCTTGGAGTGAATGGGTTTAAGCACTGCTAGAACCCAATTACAACTCATTTAAAAGACATTTCTGCTACTATTTTGACTTAAATGTCACATGCAAATCCATATTTTTAACCTATTCAACCTAAGCTTCCATTTAGTTTCAATAACCTAAGTATCCGTTTGAATTTCAGTTGGGTATAATAGATTATAAAAATAATTAATTAAATGATAGATTTTAATTATAATTAATTATATTATAACGCAATTTGTTTGGATATTATTTTTTAAAGTTAATTTTAATAGAGTTAAAGATGTTTGGATAATTTATTTAGAATCAATTTTAGCTGTGAAAATTATCATAAAGGACATTTTCTTTCAAAATTAAATTATTGATAAATTTGTATATAATATTATTAAAGCTGTTACATTTTATTTAAGAAGTAAAATATATTATTTAAATTACATATCTAATTAATTAAAAAAATAAATTATATTAATATTAACATTTAAATTTATGTAAATAAGTAACTCAATATATCTTAGTTAAAATAAATTTAATAAAAGAGAAAGATTTAATTCTTAAATACCCAATATCAATTTTACAATAACTAATGAGGATGATAATATAAAAATTGATCTGTAATGATATCACGGATATGAGCCATATTTGATGAAGATGTTAAGCACTGCTTTAAAATTTTAGCAACATAAAAAATGTAACAATATAACAAATGATGCCAAATCTCTCTTTCTGAACCAATGCAATAATTTTTGTAATAACCTTTAAATTTAAATTAAATTAAATTAATTTTTCTCTACCAATTAATATTTATTTGAATTAGTTTTATAAAGTGTTAAGTGGAGGGTAGTGATTAACAAAAAGTTATGCTAGCAACTTTTTGACGATCCAAAGTTTAAATTTTGCTAAGGAAAAAAAAAGAGAAAAGAGTTTAATTTTATTTTTATTAAATTTTGTACCTTTCTTATGTTTTTTCTAGGGCCATTCTTTGTAATTCTCTCACATTCTTTTTGATAAGCTTTTCCTTCTCTTTCGAACGCAGAAGAACATAGAAGCTGTGTGATGGAGCTTATGAAAAAAATTAATTTTTCTCCTAACAATCGATTACATGTTTAACTGATGTTTGAGTATTTTTGCACAAAATTGATTATTTTACTTATCCAAACACACACTAATTCAACATTTGTAATTTATTCTTTAGAATTTTTTTTATCAAGGAACCTAACTGTCATAAATTTTTTCTTTCAAGACTTTATTGTCATTATCCAAACAATTTTTATAGTACTGTTTCATGATAGACATTTTTCCACGAGAAAAGGCCATATTAAAACTCTGATCTCTTGTATATACAATATTATCTGATGATATATGTGCTGCAATTTCATTCCAAAAAAAAAAAAAAAGAATGACACCATTAGAGTGCTTTACAATATATGGTCATATACACAGACACACCTTGCCTGGAGCAACTAGATTAGTGTATAGATCCGATGTTACGTTATATAGGATTCCAATATTTAATTTTTAAAAAATTATAATGAAGGTAGACAATTGCATACAAACCCGTCCTATATATAGAAAAAATTAATATTAATGACATGTCATGTCCAGGCATTGTCACTCATTTGCCAAATAATTTCTACTTATTATAATTTTTAGCTTGCTATCTGATTGAAATTAAAACAAAAAACCCTAATTATAGATTTAAGGTGGTGGCCACTTCAGATGCATTTGTTACACTTTTACTATTTATATTACTTTTTATTTGAGATTATGATTCTTTTTAAATTTTTTTATGACATTCAAGATGGTAAAAATGTCAAATAAAAATTTGAATACACAAGAGCTCTTAAAATAATCTTGTTTAGGCTCTAGAACTTCTTCACACAGCCCTAAGCCATCTCATAATGGAAGCCACATCGGATCTTATTAATTCAGATAAATCAGACGCACATTATCTAATATATATATATATATATATATAAAACAATGCTTATACCCTCTAAGGTAAGTGAGACACACGTTAATAGCGCTGCTTATCAACAAGTATAATATATATGGCATAACAATATAATATTCATAAATATATACTTATAAGTTGTAGCATAAAAAGACTAATCAAGGACGTTTTTCCATTTTGTTACATAGTCCATTCAGCATTTATAGAGGAGCAGAGAACATTGATTCATAATATTACATTATATATATGCTCACTCTTGCACAGGTCAAAATATTACAACTTGGCCCAAAGATGAAACTATATTATTTAGGTCCCCTTGTACCGCTTGTCAGGCTTTAATAATATTCTTCTATTTTAATCATAATTACCTGCATTATAGAAAAACATATATATAAACATAAATATAATTAGAAGATAAAAGTCTTAAAACTAGAACTCTATTTTAACAAGGTGAATGAGATAAGAAAGACAGCAAAATATGGATGTCATGAGCTAGCTACTATGTACAAGTTTACGAGTAAAAAAATTAAAAATAAAATAAAAAAGATCGGGAGCTGTATCGGATTCCCATAATATATATACATATATATATCATAAAGACTCATAAGTCTAGTTATTAATTGTTGCCTTAAATGTTTAAGTTTACATAATTATTATCTATACCTTGAAAGCAATACATCAATCAATCAATATATACATTATTTTTGTAAAATTAATACTAAATTATACACTACACAATATTTATAAGTGATGAAAAGTGTGACTTACTTAAAAATCCATACAAGGCATCATGTGGCCAGCTCACAATCTAGTTAGAATTAAAAAAAGAAAAAAAATAATTATTGATTCATGTAATTTTATCATATTTTGTTATTGGTATAAGTAATTTTTTTGTTGTTCTAGATCCCTATAATTTTTTTTTGTCTGCAATATTAATCTCTTTATTTTTACATATGTCTAGAAAGGCCAGTGATACTAATAACTTTAAATTATTTGACCAACAATGTTAAATTTGTGCTAAATGCTAAAATAAAAAAGAAAGAGACAGAACAATCACAAAATGCAGAGTAATAAAAATTAATTGAAAGAAATTGAAAACTATACTTGACTACATGAAAACAAAAAAAAGAAACTTCACTACCAACATTAGGAAAAAAAAAAATCAATGGCTTTAAAATTAGGGGGGAAAACAGAGTATATATCTTGGTGTTGTGAACGAAATCAAAGCATTAGAGGCCCGCAGATGGGTTTGAATTATATATATATATATATATATATATATATATATAAGTGAACAAAACAAAACCTAAACTTTGTTTGACGTGCAATGAAAGACGTTGTACATGTCAAATAATTCAAAACCGTTAGTGCTACATTATCATTCTTGTGATCATATTTAAAAATAAAGCAACCAGTACTGTAGACAAAAAAAATACTATAGAGATATCTGGAGCAACCAAAAAAATATAGGGACTAATAACAAAAACATTATAAAACTATCAGGATAAAAAATTGTGTTCTCCCAACTAAAAGAAATGAATATGATTTAAACAGAATATTCATGGTACAACCAAAAAGCTGACTCTGAATTTTTAGGCAAAAATTGCTTATTTATTGTGAAAATGAAAGTGGAATAGCAATTAATTAACTAATTAAGGGACACCCAAATAATTAATTAGCAGTAAGAAGAAAAGGAAGAGGACATACCAAAACGAAGATTCTTCTTGTCAGAAAGAGAAAGGTAGGTAGATGATGGATCATTATTAGCATTATTAATGAAGTAATTGCGAGAAGCTAATGCCTCAATGGCACTCAGCTCTTGCCTTTCTGATACCATGTGTGCTTCTTGTGCCCTCTCCTCTTCTGCTATCTGCATATTATTTTAATCTCACTTCTCAATATTATTATTTGAAATAAACATCTCTATTAATTACTCCATCCATTCGATTCCAATATAAGATATTTTTTACCAGCTAACATTAATTCAAAATATACGTAGGATATATACTTTGCAAACAACAACAACAACAACAACAATCAATAACATTAAGTTTTTTTTTTTTTTTTCTTACAAATGTCCTTATTAATTGTATTGTATAGAGAAATTATACAAGAAAGGAATTAAAGGTAATTAAGACAGATTAATTTTAATGGGAAGGCACAGCATATGGGGCTAATTGCCCGCCACAAGATTTAGAAAAAATTACACATAATAGCTCTAAATATTTCAATTCCCACCCCCCAAAAGAAGATAATTGTCATACAACATAATTTTTCACAACTGTGCCCTGAGAAAAGACAGAAGGTATGGACTTGTTCGGTTTAGCTTGTTTCATAAAAAAAAAAACTTATTTTTTGAAAAAATAAATTTTATAAGTTTTTATGATATTTGTTTAAACTTTTTAAAATAATCAGAATTCAAAAAAAAATAGATTTCTAATTATTTTAAGAAACCACTAACAATAATCTAATGTGGTAGATAAGAGAGGGTATTTTAAATAGATAGGATACAAAAAATATTATAAAATTTTAAAATAATATAATAATAAATTATTTTTATAAAACAAAAATAAAAAAAGATATTATAAGATTTTAAAATACCTAGCTAATAATTAGGAAACCAAACATAAAATAATGTTTACTTTTTTATAAAATCATTACGAAATAATCTCTTTTATAAATATCTAAATTACTTAAAAATCACTCTCTCCATCCTAAATTATAAGACACTTTAGAGAAGATTTAGTGTCCTAAACTATAAGACACTTTGATAAAAATAAGGTTTTATTAATGATACTTTTTTAATATTATACTTTTTATATATTCTATTTCTTTAATATTCTTTTATCAATGGAGTATTTAATGAAGGGTGTTTTTAAAAGATTATATTTTTGTCTTGAAAAAGTAAGGTTGTAAAGTGTATTTAATAGTTTTATTGTTATATAAAATTTTATCTAAATGTATCTCATAATTTAGGATGGAAGGATTATTTATTTTTTAATCTTAAACTAACAGGCCTTATACAATAAGCTCAATAAAATTTGAGGGTGTGCATAATCTATCATTTATTATTTTAATATAGGTTGGAAAATAGAATGTTTGAATAATTTGAAAAAAAAATTTACGAAAATGTGCTGCCTGTTTTTTAAACTTTTAGAGGAGGCATTTGTTTGTTTTAAAAATAAATTGAATTTTATATAATTTCATTATTACTCTTACTCAAGGCTTTATAATTCACTAAAAGAAATAATCCAAATAAATTGAATTTAAATATCAGTACGTACGTACCTTAGTCCGAATACAGAGGTTTTCATTTTCAAGTTCAATCTCCTATATATATGTCAATATTTTGCAAATAATCAGTTGAGAATAGTAACAAAGAATTTATAAACCCAAGAAAAAATTTAAATTATAAAATGATAAGGGGAAAAAAAAGAAAATTGAATTGCTAATTACCTTCTTCTGCAAGTATTCGATTTCCATCAGCAGCATCTCATGCTATTGCGTTACATATAACAATCGAATAACAAAAACAAATTAATTTAATTTACAATATTAATGAAATCACTCAAGTAAAAAAAACCTTAAATAGAAAAGGAAAAAAGAGAGTGGTGGAAAAAAAGAGAGAGGTGATTGCATGCACCTGGTCAAGAACATTTTCTAAATATGCACATTACTGTAGCTTTTAAAAAAATAGTAAACTAATTGAAGTCACATGGAAGGAAAATAAATCTCATATTAAATAGATATAGATTAATCATGGGAAAAATTGAATTAGATTGATGAGTAATGGCTGTATTAAAAAAAGGGCAAAATTACAATCAAATCCCAAATAAAAATTAATTTTTTCTTCCATCAATTTACACGTTAAATTTTTATATTTACGTGTTAAACTTCAATTTTTACATATGAATGGGACTTTAGGTTAAGTAGATAAAATATTTATATATTATAGATTTGCATTAATTATATATTGAGCTCAGAACAAATTAGCCCTTTATAATCTTGTATAGATTGTGATAAGTAGATCACATAAATGAGTTCATTTAGACAAAGATCCAACTTACAACCCTTTAGCCATGAGTTATTAGCGCTATCTTTTAGCCAACTGGGTCAAAAGAATTTGAGAAAGTTACAACTAATTAATTAATTAGTCATATATCTATAAGTGCAGATAAACCTAGTTGCAGATATAAGATCAATATCTCACCGTTTCCATGCTCTCTTATATTTCTGTATCTTTTCAAGGCTAAGGGGATCTACTAGATTGTGAATCTGCTTAGGATCCTCACTTGCATTTTATATTTTCTCAAGAACAATGCAATCACAAGTATGCCCATTAAATTCTACTCGAATCATTCTATATTGTTTATTGAGATATTTTCAACAGGGTATAATTACCTTTTTGGACCTGATTCTAGAGAGTGCTCGTTCAAGTCTATTCTCCAGCTGCTTCAGCTCCTTCACATTCAGCGTGCTCAAGGCATCACCCATCAAGTGCCTTCACAACAATTCATTCAAGTTCACAAATTCGTACAAAATAATCAAAATCAATATCTCAACCTAAATCATGTTCTTCTTGTTTTTGTTTTGGTTTCTTTATATAATAGAACCCATATTTAATATGGTTAATAATTATAAGGATTTGAGGCCAAAATATGTTTACTTGTCCTTTCGTGTGGTGAATAATGATATATATAGAAGTTTGTCCTTTAGATTTATACAAGGAGATCAAGTCCCTACTCTATGCCCAAACACACACAAATATATATAGAGAATTAGAGACATACAATGCGTTTGATTATTTGCCTTTAAGCTTGTGAAACAATGTTTTAAAAGTGAGACCGAATGTTAAACTAAAAAAGTCAGTGGTTCTCAATTTTTATATTTTAACCTGTTGGACTCAAACCAATGATATAATAATTAAATTAAAAATAATAGTAAACATAGACATATATATAAATATATATATATATATATATAAGAAATAAATCGATAGTATGTCTATTTCTTAATAAAATAACACAAAAGACTATAAATTAACATTATATATAACAATTTTATAATTTTTTAAATATAAGTAGATCTTGGTTAAATTATGTATGAATGGACTGAAAAAATGATCTCAAATTAAATTATATCTATGTGAGGGGTCCAAAAATGAAGTTGGTTTTTAGTAAGGGTCTACTTTTTGAATTTTTTTAAATTTTTAAAGCTTTTTTAATATTATATTTAAAACCATCCAATTTTTAAAAACCATTTTGATTTTTGGCTTAGTAGCTGCTCAACTTTGGCCCAACCCAGCTCAACTATGAAAACAATTTTTTGATCTAAATTGAGCCATTAACAATTCCAGTCAACTGTTTGGCCAACCCATTCAGTCTTATTTTTAAAACAAAGTTATGAAAGTCTAGGTAACTTTTGTGAAAAACAAGATATAATAGCTTTTGAAGAAAGTCGTTTTGAAATGTTATTCAAGCACGTACACATGATGATTTTGAGAGAAAGAGGGAAATAGGAAATCACCTGTTAGAACTTTGCAGCATTTGAATCTGCTGTCGTAGCTTTGCAGATTCTTGTTGATAATACTGATAATCCAACAAATTGACATAAAATCAATCAATTAATCAATTAGATTTCATCATCCACAACTCTCTCTGTGTGTGTAATTTGTGCATCATAATGCAAGAATAAAAACCCTATCTCCACTCCATCTACCATGATGGCTTGAATATAAATTCAAACTAAAAATCAAACAAAGAATAGGGTTAAATGAAAAATTAGACCTTAAATTATAAGTACAGGAGTGTTTAAGACTCAAAACTTATTTTTAGTATAATGTTCCTTTTTAACTTTTGAAAATAGCACAATATGGCCCCTATTATTAACAAAAGTTAACTTTAATTGTTAGTTGATCAAAAAATAACTAAAAAACTTTAAAAATACAAAAAAAAAACCTCAAACATTATAGTAAAAGACCAAAAAATTATAGAAAAAGACAAAGAAAATTTTATTTGTCCTTTATTGTAAATTTTTAAGCCTTTTATTGTCATTTTTTAGTTAATTAGCTGTTAATATTTTCAAAAGTTAGAGGAAAATATTACACTAAAAATGAGTTTAAAGTTTTAAATACTTTTGGACTTATAATTTAGAGGTCAATTTGCTCTTTTAGCGAAGAGAAAATACTACTAAGACAAACACCATACATAAAACTAACTTTAATTACATGTATATTGTAACAACTTTGTGTGTGTGTGTTTTTTTTTTTTTTTGGGGGGGCTCCTTGATATGTAATATGTAACAGGTAACAGGAACATGTTTTTGGGGGGGAAAAAATGTAATATGTGCGATACCTGGGCATTGATTTCGGTAGTAGAGCTGGTACTTGAATGATCTGAACATGCCTTTTTATACCTCTCTATAGTTGACCTTATGCTGTTAATTTCCAAAACGTAAATCAAAAGACGAAAAATGGGTTAGGATATGACTACAGTAACTCGGAAGATATCATATATTTTAAGTACTGTAGATATATCAAGATCCACGTGTTTTTCTTCATCACAACTTAAAGATGATAATTAAATATACGTGGCACATACATGACCTTTCCATACTTTAAATAACTTAATCACAAAACATTCTTAACATGCATGCTCGCATATATACATGGATACTTAATTACCGTGTGTATATTATTATTATATATTCCTATATATGTTTAAGACATTCAGTGTGTGCGTGTGTGAATTTTATTTTAGTAATTTGTAGCTTCCAAGACTATAATCATGAGAAAATATCAATAAGGATTGCTGGAGTAAACTTATATCAGTCAATAATTACTTATTGTTAAAATCCGAATGGATATTTGTTGATTCAAGTTAATCTTTTGTCAACAAGCATCCATTCAAGGGCTAATAATAACTTATTTTAAATTAATAATAGTCTATTTAATTTTCTTTTTCATTTGAGTTAATTGGTCGTTAATTAATATAAATTTTCTCTTGCAGCCATCCTTGATTGATATTTTCTCTAAAGTAATCATTTCTTCGTGTTTTTTTTTTCGAAAATATGGTTTCAAACAGAAAATACTTTCCCTCCCTCCCCCACTATCTCTCTCTATATATACACCAAAAAAAAAAAAAAAAAACAGAAACACACACACGTAAGTACAGTTGAATGCATGTCCTAAAATATACAAAGATCCTTCAGGCCAGGATCGTTAATTAGAAGGAAAAAGAAAGGATATAATAGACAATAATCAAGTTCTTGAAAGGAAAAACAAATAAAGAAGAGCTATACATATACATAAACCGTTCTAGCTGTTAAGGAGTTTATTCTGGTGATGAATTGACTGTTTACTATACAAGGCTTTATGTTGCTTCCGCTTAGTCTCTTGGAAATTTAAGATGGTAAATATTCTTTAAATTAAAATTCTTAATTTATAATTTTTTTTAAATTAATCATCTAGTCCCTACAATTGTCAATTGGCTAAAATTCAGTTTTTGAATGTTGACTCGATGCAACTCATTACCTATAATTTTGAATCAGTTAAAACTTAGTTCTTATAATTTTGACTCATAATCTAATCTGTATATATCTATTTAAAATGTTGGTCTTAATATTTTAGAAAATAAAATTATAAATAATAAGTTATTACTAAAAATGATTTAAGTGCCAATTTATTCTTATTTAATTAGCTATGTATACATGAGTCAATTTGTGTCTTCAAACTTAAAATAGCTAATATAATAATTTAAGAAAACATAAATGACCAAATTGATAAAAATTAGACTTAAGGACTAAATTGGTAATTGAGATAAACTTAAGACATTAAAAGTTTCATTATCTCAAAAAATTAAGACTAATATATCTGAATTTTCTTAAAACTTTTGCAATATTGTGTAGGATCCCCCACATCCTGTATTTTGTATATGTTGTATATTGTTGTTGTTTTTTTTTTCACAACAATTTTGGAATTGAAATTTAGGAACCATTCTTCTTTCTGTAATTTAATTGCAAGAATTATATTCAATTAAAATTCATAAATGCTTCATTATTCACATAATAAATTCAACTAATTATACCAGCTTCAACAGACTGTGTGTGTCCAAAAAAGTGAGTATAAAAAGAAACAATCAACTCTGACACTATCAAAAGAAAAAAGATCAAGTAGATGCAAAAAGGTGAAGATCAGCACAAGAGAAAGATCCTTCGTTTCTTTTTCACTAAACAGTTCAAACAAAAGAAAGGACCTTTCCCGCTCTAAAAAAACCCAGAAATGGAAAGAGATTGAAGAGCATGCATGCATGCATGCATGCCAATATCAGATCTCATATGATTTGATCCAGATTCTCATTTCTTCTGTTACCAAAAGGAACTTATAGTGGGTCTAGCTAAAGCAATGAACAACATGCTTCCTTATCGTTATATAACTCTCTCTCTCTCTCTCTCTCTCTATATATATATATATATATATATATGCATATAAAGATATACAAACATTATCCTACAGTCCTGGAGGCTGGACTGTTTGGAAGAACAGATAGGTAATTGACAATAAGTTAAATCTTAAAAGAAATTAAATAAGAGGCTGGAAGGTTAAGAGGAGCTTTAAACTATATATATAAACTAACTTTTCAATAGGGCTGGGTCTACTAAAACAAGCTAGTCCCTCAAAACGTGATGAATAAAGGTTCAAATTTTTATTGAAAGAGATGCCTACATTTAGTTTTCAATTTTGCCTCAAATAACTAACAATCGTTGATCTTAGTCAAAGGGGCTATGGTGTCATAAGTCTTACTTTGGAGAGCCTAACAAGTGGAGTTGAGTTTGTAAGTGTGAAAAATACTTTCATTTAACATGTCAGTTTTTTGAGATGAGTTTTTTCTTTAAACTTATTGTGCTCATGAATATAGCTACTTAGGCATGAGGTTAATAGTTCACGTTCAAGTGAATGCAAAAAAAATGCCTTTGGGAGAGGTACCTCCCAATGACTTACTCAACCATGCTTGAATCTGACCTAATGAAATAGCCATATAACAAAGTGCTAATAACTTACATTAATTCTTTTATATATCACCAATGGGGACTAAGTCAAATGTAATGAAAACGAATTGACATCCTTAAAGTTACAGTGACGAGTGAAAACTTTGTGGATGGAAAAAATTGTGCTGAGCGGATTACCCTAATTAACGGAGCTTGTTGAAATATATGCTCAAATATAAACTAGTAATAAAATAAAGTAAACTTATCAATACAATAAGGTAAAGAATTCAAGAAAAAAGATTTAATTTCTTTTCACCGAAGAATTCAGAGAATAAAAAGGTATCGCTCTGTGTCAAACCCAGAAATGGAAAGAGATGGAAGAGGAAGCAAACGGGATGTGACAGAAAGTACTTCTGAGTGAAGGACGTTGTTGGGAAGGGATGAATACTTAGTCGGTGTAACTGTCTGCAACTTATGTTCCAAGAAGCAGACACACAGTTATGGATCCATTTCTGGGTTTGTCAGACAGATACATATCTTTTGTTTGAATTCTCTTGTAAAAATAATGTTTAACTCTTTCTCAAGATTCTCTTGTTCTTAGTCTTAACCTTCTTCTTGCTTCTATATGTGGAGACTACTTTTACTTAATTTCACGTTTTAATAGAATGAGTTTTGTGAGAGAGAGAGAGAGAGAGATGTGAGATGAAATACTTTATTCAATTAATCATTACTGAAGTTTTCCTACAATGAAAAACCTTAGGGCTATAGCTATTTATTTGAATCTTAATCTGATTTTAAAAGATAACAAAGATAATTGGATAATCTAAATGACCTAGATATCTTACTTTATTGAAAATAATTAAAATCCAAAATATTGCAATGGAGATGATGGTAAGAAAATTAAATCCTAATTAACCTAAGCGATATTCTATTCAAATAATTTTAATAAAATAATCTTAAATTTCTAACCCTATTTATATCTTTATCTTATATTCCACCAATATGTATACATAGTTGTATGTCTTTTTAATCACGTTTTCAATCAATATAGAAACACAGTATGTGAAACCATATAATTTATCTAACATGTAGGTGCATCCTTTCAAGTTCCGCACGGTTTCTAATTTGTTGTGACTTCAATAAGTAGTTATCACGTAAATCATTACCATCACTTTTAAAATTTTTAAGGATATGTGCGCGCACATATATTACACTATTTAATGAATAGTAAAATGATATTACTTTTGAAAAATAAAAGAATAATATTAAAAGCTAGAATGTCTACACCTATTAAATATGAAGGATCCATTAAAAAGGTATGTAAATAGTGAAATGTGTGCCCACAAAGTCCATTAATTTACCTACATGAAGCATGGCTTAGAAACTACTCAAGATCACTCAAAACTAATTAAATGGTGACTAGTGTATGTGGAGTTCGAATTAGTTAAATTATTTTTCGTGCATGAAAAAAATTAATTAACTTCAATGTAATCGTATGACAGAAAATCCTACCAAAAAGGGATAATTGTTTCACTCTTTTGTTGAAAAATGAGTAGGGTAAAAGTGAAAGATTGCATTTAGAGTGAGAGGTAAAAGCTAAACTGAGCAGTAAAAAGGACACAATCAAAATCATCAACTCTCTGTGACTTTTGAGATCCATGAATACAAAGAGAATTGATCTACAAAAAGCTGTAAGTGAAGATAACTTGTTGGTTTCTTCATGGGAATCATCAATATCAAATATATTTATAAACTCTATTGCAAGCATTATATTAACACTTTATTTATTAAACAATATATGATATACATATACCCACATTTTGCAATTGAAAAAAAATGAAATTTGTGTTAGAGATCAAGAGAAAATTGTAATAATTAAATTAATTTTACAACAAGTTCTACAACAGATTGTTCATCACAACAAAAAAAAATACACAGTATTGATATAAAACCAGGTCAATCTAGCCAATTGAACTAATAAAATCTTGAATCAATATCTTGATCTATTCAATGGAATGTTTTGTTTATTACAATTAGTTTAACCACAATTCACCCACGATATTAAATATTAACTTTTGAATTAATACCTTGAATAGTTCAATGGCTGATCTAGTTTAGTGGCTTGTTATAAAAGCATTTTGTAATATAGCAATGACTGCGTCATAATAGCACCATAACCATGCTTGAGCCTGTGCTCTTACTTGCATGTGTGTGGTGTGTGTATCTTTCAATTGTCAAGGGCAAAAAAGGAAAAAAGGAAAAAAGAAGCATTGCAGATCAATATTTGTGATGCATTTGTAAAATTTTAATCACAAAATCCGTAGCAATTTTTTTTTTTGTGATGAAATTTATGACAAATTTGTGAAAGGATTTTGCAACAGACCATTTTTCACTGCAAATTTTCTTTTCTACTGTCGTAATTTCATCTAGTCTTCTTGTTACTTTTAAAAGATGACAGTTTATTTTCTTAACAGTGTCAACTTTCTGATGATTTTACCATGTGCCAAAAAAGACAGAAAGTAATTTTATTCTTTTTCATTCAATTCATTTAGTTGACTTTTTCTTCTTTGGCTCCTTTTACTTCATCATTACACAAATTAACAAGGCTAACAGTAACTGATGATGACATAACTTTCTTATCAGTCTCTAACATTCGATGCATGAGAATCTAGCCGAAACGTGAGATATCAATGTATACTTTCTACTATGCACACTAAATTCTTTTTCAAACTTCAAACTTAACGATTATTCAGGTTAAAATTTCATACATCTGTTCAAAGACAAGATTGAACCAATTATGAAACTTCAGCTTTTGGGGCTTCACTAGGGTTTTTTTTTTCTTTCAAAGCATGCATCTTGATTATGTTATTGAAAAGTGATGAGCAATAATAATTATGTTTCACAAATGCACTGAACCATTTTTAATGGTCTCTAGTTTTGTTAACATATAATGATTGCATAATAGAAAGAACTACTGAACATAAAAAGAATGTCAAGATCATCATGTCCACAATATTTTATCACCATTTTACCAAACATATTTTTTTGATACAATTGCCAAACATTTTATCATCAAGCTATATGAAGGTAAAATTACTGTAATCAAGGTACAGTTTTAAGGCATGTTTGGATATTGGAAAATGGATAGAAAAGAAATGGGAAAGAAGAGAGTACGTAGGAATGATAAATCCTAAAGCATGAAGATATGAAGAAAAAGATATTTATAATTAATGTAGAGACTAAAGGCATTATTTTTATATTGATAAGAAGAGAAGAACAAGAATTAAGGAAAAAAAGATGAAATTTTAATTTAAATACTTTCTTTAATTATAAGCCATTCTCCTCAACCCATACATATTGCTTGAGAGAGAAAAATGTTCAAATTTAACCTAAATAAACAATTAAAATTTGTCTTAATTAACTTCACGTCTTCTCATGCATTAATATCCTATGCTAAAACATGCTCCTACTTTAATTTTCAAAAATAAAAATAATATGAGATTCAGTTCATCAATCTGCATCTTCTACATCCAGAGCAATAAACAAATATATGTAACATTCAAGAAGAAACTACATCAAAACAATCATACTATTGTTTTTCAAGCCAAAAATAAAAGATTAGAAATATTGTGTAATAAAGATTCGTTAAAAAGAAAAAAGAAATATTGTGTAATAAAGAGAAACAATAATGATAATAAGGGAATTAAAGGAAGAAGAATGATGAATTACTTGTTGTTGGAGTACTCATAAAGACGACCACGACTAGAGAAGACGATGAGAGAAACTTCAGCATCACAGAGAACAGAAAGCTCATAAGCTTTCTTCAAAAGCCCATTCCTTCTTTTGCAGAATGTCACTTGCCGATTCGTTGTGTTCTCTATCCTCTTTATCTCTATCTTCCCCCTCCCCATCTGCAAAATATTCAGCTAGATCAGATCTCAACAAAACACAAAACAATAAGATAATTATTCACTGATTGTTACACACACACACACACACACCCTTTTAGTTTTCATTAGACTCTTTTCTCTGTGAGTGTGTGTTTGAGTTATGAACGCGAGGATAATGATCAGAGCTTGAAACCCTTTTGTGCCTCGAGGAATGTTTTTTTTTTTTTTTTTTAAAGAAAAAGAAAAGAATGAAAGCTTGGTGCAAGTGAGTATATGGGGAACTGGAGAAACGGGAATCGATGCGTACTGTGATATGAGTGAAGAAGACTTGTTTGCTTTCTGTTTCTGGGAAAGCAGATAGATGTCCGAGAAAATAATAGGACGAAGGAAAGTAGAAGAGAAAACGAGGGAAAATAATGCATTAAGAGCTCGATCTCAAAGCGATCGAGGGAAGAAAAAGAAGATTCTATGTGTCGGCCAATAGATCTAAAAGATGAACCACTTGAACACGAAACTGAGCTAATCATCATCAAGGGTTTGATCAATTATTTGCTTGACGAAGATTTTCTTTTAATTATAAGAACATAATAAAAAAAAAAGAAAAGAAAATAATATGTGTATATGTATATATATATATCATCACCTTCTTCAATATTTCTTTGAGAGAGCTTCCTAGCTAGCTCCCACTTCTTCTGGTGATGAAACTCGAGCTTTCTGGAAAATATCAGATAGCTTTCAATTTCTTCCACTTCCTTCTCTGCTGTATTTATAGCGATTGCTTTCTTTGTGTATCTTTTAAATGACTGAATGATGAGAGAGAAAGAGAAAAGGAAAGAGTTTTGATCAGAAAGCAAAGGACCATAGCTGGAATGGTTTCTTGCCAAAAAGGCATGCAAGAAGTAGACGTTCTAGTTAAATAATACATCCTTCCAGGTGTAAATTCGCACCAAATACTGCAATTTTTGTTTTCTTTAGATGCATTTTATTAAAACATGGTTTAAATGTAAAAAAAAATAACGAAATGATTATTATGAATCTAAATTCTGATGGCGGAAATAAATTGGATAAAAAAAAGGGTAAACATAACTTTTGGTCTCTATATTTTACTCGCGTTTTGCTTTTGATCCCTATATTTTTTTTTTTTTTATGTTTTAGGTCCCTACACTTTTGTTTTTCATTATTTTGGATCCTTTTGATATCCCTATACTTTGCTTATAAAGGAACCGAAAATAATAAAAAATAAAAGTGCAGGGACTTAAAACACCAAAAAAAATATAGGGACTAAAAACAAAATGCGAATAAAGTGCTTGGACCAAAAATTTTGTTTACCCAAAAAAAAAATTGCACTCAGCATATATGAACCGAAAATGCTAGAGTTTAATCCAATAATATTATATACTCCCTCTATTCAAAAATATAAAGTATTTTTTAAAAGGTTAGATATTAAAAAATGTAAAATATTTTTTATCTTTTAAAGTGTAATCATTACTTTTTTTCTAAAAGTGTCTATAATGAATAAATCACTTTATATTTTTTTTAGGATGAAACACTTTATTAAATAGGGATACATATGAAAAGATGAGAGAATTAAGTAGAAGAAAAAATTGTGTGTATCATCATGCTATTCAAAAAAAGGAAACATTTTATCATTGGAAACTTGGAAAAACTGGTTAAAAGGATAGTTTCTTTTAATTTGAGATCTTGAGTTTGAGCCTCAGGCAACTAGGTCAAATATTATTCTTTATCACTTGACACTAATTAACAATGATACAATAATTAGTGTCAAGTGATATTTTTTTATCAATCATTTTTTTAAAAAAATTAATATATCAATATTTAAGAATAATGTTTCATCGACATTTAAAAGTTTAACGTTGGCATTTTTTGTTAATGAAACTAATTGTGCTAGGGTTAGAAAATAACAGACAATTTATAAAATTAAAGAACCAAGATAAAATATTGGGTGAAGTTAAACAACTAAAAAATAACATTTTCACCTGCTTCAATAATTAGAAAATCATGATAATTATTAAAAAATTTACTTCTCTTTATTTCATTTTATGAAAAGACTAGATTTTTTTTTCTTTTTTGACCGAACAAATACTATAGACTTGACTATTAACCTTATCTATACAGATCATCTATGATTACCTCGAAATCATTAAATTTGAATAACTAAAGGAGGCTTTGAATTTAATTTGTTGATTAGGATCTACAGAGAAAGATCTATACTCAAGTCGGGTCGTTGAAGGGTCTCTTCTTAATTAAGTGGATCCATCTTGACAAATAAATTGATAATATAAATTAAAAGAGTAATTAATTATCCTTCTTAAATTAGAAAAGGGGTGAGAGAGAGAGAATTATCCTTGTCCATCCGGAAAAAGAAAAAAGTGGCAAAAGAATTGCATGTGAATGAGCAGATTCACTAATAATAGGGTTCCTCTACGAACCAGCAAAAATTGGTTATTATTTCTTTTATGGTTAGAACTGTCAATGGATATTAGGCATCTAAATTTGGAAGCTTGTAAGTGAAGAATAATAAGCTTTTGTCTTTAACATTCTTTTTCTTTATTGGGTATATATGTACTAAATTGAAAATATAGGTTGGATTACATGAGTTTATCTAAATAACATGTTATAAATGTGGAGTTGGGCTGAAAAAAGATTGACCCATATAAAAATAGATCTTTTATGACTTGGACAGATAACATATGAATCAAATAGGCTAACCTTAACAGGGTAGAGTTAGCCCATTTAACTCAAATTATTTTTAAAAAATAAAAAAATGAAGGAGGTCTTGGCCTTGGCACCAAAATCCCACTAGTATATTTGAAATGAATCATGATGAAATTTATCAATTCATGCATTTATGATATGAATTTTTTTTAATTATTGCATGTAATATCATATTATAGCTTCTCATTTAATTAGGTGTAATTTTAAAAAAAATATGCAAAAAAATAAATAAATGGATTAATGAATTGGCCTATTTAACCCACCAACGCATAAGGGTTGGGTTACTTTAAAAAATTTTCAACCCATGTAAAAAAGATATTAGACCCAACCCAATACATATGGTTCAAGTTAACCCATATTTTCAGCTCTATATATTAAAGAGTATCCACCAATTACGACTATTTTCCTTTTAGGTATTGAGAGTAAAGGTTAGGCTTCTCTAGCTAGATATTTGTTCAACATATATTCGTAAATATGAAATATCTATTTAGATTTTGAGTAGACTCATTGTGATTGCAACTATGTGTGTGTGCATAAAAAAATTTAGGTAAGTTGAATTTTGAAAGCTCATCACAATTAAGAGATGCCTTACAGCAAAATGAGTGCTCTAAAAAATACTTAATTACGAAATATCTATCAATAAGATCCTTATATCAACAATGAAATTCTTATTTTATTGGGTTAATTAGTAAAAGTGTGATTTTTTGTACTAAGTTTCGTGGATTTTAATTGGCATAATTGGGAAATTCATAACGTTATATTAAAAATTGATGTGCTATTTAATTTTTTATTTATATTTATAAATTCATTAATATTAATTGTTAAAGAAGATTAGCTGATGCCGAAAATATTTTGTGGTCTTATTTAATTGCATGATTGTAAAAATAATCTGGTTGTTTGTGAATAGGGTACTGTACTGATATTCTTTTTTCCCACATGAAGTTACAGTACCAAATTCTTTATTAAAATGATGACAAGGGGAAAAAATATATGTAGAATAGTCGATTAAATAAATTTATAGTTTTAATCTTCAATTTCTGATAAAAATTTATAATGTATTTATCAATAAATTGTAAAAAAATGTAGATATATAATGTATTTATATATCATATAACAAGTTTATAAAAATAAGGATTAAATAGCAATTTCACCCTTATACTACAAAATCATAAATGTCTATGACCTTAAATTTATTTTTGATATAATGTTCCTATTATTAACTTTTAAAAATGATGCAATATCACCCCCACCGTTAAAAAAAAGTTAACTTTAACTATTAATTAATCAAAAAGTTATAGAAAAGAAATTCAAATAAATTATAAAAATGGACAAAAAATTGCAAAAAAGCATCCAAAAAAGTACAGATCGAGGATTTAAAAAATTATAGAAAACTCTATAATTTTTGAGGTCCTTTTCATTAATTTTTTGGTTAATTAACAGTCAAATTAAAATTAACATTTATCAATGATAAGGGCAATATTACACCATTTTGGTATGTTGAAAGGGAAAATTCTAGAAAAATGAGTTTAGGATTCTAGAAACTGTTAGACCTATAATATTGGGTTCAATTTGCCATTTAATCTTAAAACTAATGTGAATGTTTTTTTATAAGTATAATTTGAATCATCCACATATTAAAAAGAGAGTTAAAATCAACAAAGGTTAGTCCAATTAGTAAAGATTTGGCCATAAGGCCATAACTTACAAGATTGTGAAATTAAATCTTACTGTCAATGTGAAAACCTTATTAATGAGTGATCCACAAGCACTCTTTCAAACTAAAGGCATGTTTTTGCCCTGGTTATAAGCCTTTGAAACCCAACTTACCTAAACTTTTGGTTATAAGAAAAAGAGAGTTAAAAATGATTACTCCCTCCATTTAAAAATAAAAGATATTTTTTAAGGGGTTGGAGGGTCTTTTAAGATGTAATCATTGACTTTTTTTTAAGTATTCATATTGAATAAATCACTTTATATTTATTTCAAGATAAAATATCCTATTAGATAAATATAAATATAAAAAGATATAGTTAGTTTGAAGACAAATAATTATTTTATTGGGAGGTGAGATTCGGTTAAAGATATCTTATATTTTTTAACAAAGGGCATATGTTATACATTGCACGTGTTCATATCTTTCTTATTATTTTTCTTTAATTTCTGAATATTATATATACTTAGTCAGTCACTCATAATGTATTTAATTTTTCAGACTAACCAGCAGACTATAAGACAAAGAATTACATAAAAATTTTATTGAACAATCTACTCATACATTTATATATTTAATTAAAGTAATTAAGGGGATCTTAAATATGACTGTTTTGTAGAGTTTACATATTACATTCTTATAATTTTTTATTTTATTTTTTGCATGTTTATCCTTTTTCATATGTATACGCAGATAGAGGAGAATATTTCTTGGTTGAGTAATGGGTTAGAAGTCAAAAAATGACTTGATGAAGAGAATCTATCGTTTTCAGGCACATGAATTATAGAGAAAATGTGAAGGCACAATGAATGGGGAATGAATATGATCTAAAATGGTTTGAGGAATTGAACTGACAAGGGTGTGTATGGCTGTCCTGTGAAAGTTTATTAGCCTTTTGGTGCTTTCCAACCTATTG